AAAGGTCATGGATAATCACGTTTTGTTTAGTTAACACTTAACAGTTAACACCAGGATCTCACAAAAATGTATTTCAGATTTTGACATTTAAAATGCTATGTTGTATTTCTAACTTGGAATAGATAAAAAATAAAAAAAATATTTAACTTACAATTACGTATGAATTATCAAAATTTAATACTTTGATATCATTTATATTTAATGACTCACATAATTAATAAATTAGAACTGTTAAATATAAATAAGATTAATAAAAAAATTGATCTCAAGCTCTTAACTTGGGAAATTTAAATTCAAGACATTAAATAAGCTCGAACATTTTTAATTTTGTTCATGTGTTTGATGGTAGTTTTATGGATTTTTTTTCCACTAATTCAATATGGGACTAGTATATATTAAAATCATATTCTATTAATATAAATAGATTTTATGGCATGTTTAATAATAGATTTATTTTTTAAAAAAATGTAAAATATCTCTCAAAAGTTATAATTTTTTAACTTTAAAATAAATTAATTAAAACAGGTAGTTCGTTTAATATATATTACTTAATTTCAAATCAATTTTAATTAAATGTATGATTTAATCTCACAACCTCAAAACTTTTTTTTTCCGGGTTTTACTTTGCTGTGATTGTGAAAGCATAGTATGAAGCCAATCGATAACGTATACTTACTATTACTTAATATATATATATATATATATATATATATATATATATATATATATATATATATGGAAAAAAATATTTCTCCAGCAACTTGAGATAAGTTTCTCTCCGGCTACCCTAAAACGACGTCGTTTTATTTATTTATTTTCTTATATTAATTAATTTACCTTTGAATGGTTATGATTTTCTTTTTCTCTTTCTTCCGATTCATTTTTGTATGAATATGATTTAGTAGTCGGAGATAAAGTTATCTCCGACAGCTTGAGAAATGATAAACCCTATATATATATATTATATCGCTTAGGAAGGAAAATTAGAATGTAATTGGGCTGCTTCCAACGTCAGCTTAACGCGTGCGCTTATGAAAGTTCGATAATGACACGCAAAAATCCACTTGAGGACACACTTCTATAGCAAAAAACAAGATGACAAAGCTAAAATATTGGACATTGTTTGGCAATGATGAATTTGGATACGAAGAAGTGGAAAGGATCATGCATCAGTTAGAGGTGATGCGACCCTTTGACCAAACAGATAAAATATTTTGTGTAGAAGGGGTTGGTAGCCACCGGCATGGCAGCCAGCAACCCCTGTGCCGTCTAAATGTTTGCGTTAATGTTAAGTGACAAAATTGTCATTTTCTGTTCCTCAACGTAACAACTAAATGTAGAAAATCTCAACTTGTGTGACTCACCTATGAAATATCATTTGTTTCTTTTTGGTATGGAGATATTACCATGATTTAGTGCTCTCTCTGTAGAGAAATAGGATTGGGCTATGTGAACCCATTTTCATTTTGGATAACATTATTTAATCACGCAGACATTGAATTTGTTATGTTAATACTATGCATGCGTAGACTGGTAAGAGTTGTTTCGTCTCTGCATTAGTCAACGTACATTTCACAAGTTTTTTATATCTAGCCAGTAGTCATAGTCGCGTCGCTACGAAGCACCGACACTACTCCACACTCTCCGATACTCCGATACTCCAACATGCATTATAGAAATTTAAAAAAAAAATTAAAGCTTGAGTTGCATTGAGTTTTTAATTCTAACTATTAGATTCGTTGGAATACGATTACTATTTTATTGAGTTTAATATAAATATTTGGGAAATCTTATGTTTCTTTGCGAAATTGATAAATATTATAAGTTTAGTTTTATTTTTTTGTTAAATTATTGAATGTTAAATGTAATATACACTATATAAATTAAAAATATTATTTAATATCAAAACGTGTCCTAACGTGTCGAAATCTAATTAACATTTTTTAGAATTAACATGTCGGAGTGTTGTGTCGTATCGTGTCACGTGTCTCGTCTTGTATCAGTATTGGTGCTACATAAGTCATAGGCTTATGAAATCCGTATGTTTATTTATCTTTTTAGTATTTTGTAGGTTCATATCTTTGATTTTAAGGATAAGTTAAAATGGTAATAGCTCATAATATTGCAATGAAAAATATATTTGGAAAAAAAAAACTTCAAGTAAATTAACTAAGGGATTACTTCTCTCATGTAGTATGAGAGAAGTTGTCTCATGTTAAGAGACAAATAAAATGGGCCTCACCAACTTTTAGAAAAAAAAAAAAAAAAGAGGCACATTTTTTGAAAAGAGAGTGACATGAGAGATCTATCTTATACAACATAAGAATATAATTTTCGATTAACTAATATTTGAATCCCTCTGCTCAGAGTTTGTACTATATTCATAGAAGATCCGGCCGCAGTGTACTAATTAAGGCCTTTGAGTCTTACTCCAGGGACGGCCATTTTTATCTTTTCTTCTGTTTTCTAAAAATAATAAACAAAACTGTGCAACAGAATCATGCAAATCGTCAGCATATTCAAGTTGAGTTTCATAATATAAAATTCATCAACAATTATACGTGGATTAATTTAAAGAAAAAGTGTTTGTCCTTTTAAATGACACAACTTACATCATTTTATTTTCACAAAGGGAAATATTTAATATGTTTCAGGACCACCCAATGATTTGGTGCTCCCTCTCACAACATTAATTTTTTCTTTTTCTTTTTAACCCTGTTATTTTTCTTCTTTTTGAATTTTGCCCTTTCATTTACACTAAGGGACCACTTAAAAAATAGTGGTACAGGACCACAATAAATTCTCTCCTCACAAAGAGATGAGATTCACACCTTCATTTTTTTGTCCACTCTCTTTCCTCCTTTATCTATCTATTTCTCTCACTTAAAGTGACACAACTTTACATCCTTTAAAATAACACACATTTTACCCATAATTTAACTATTTATGTTGGGAGAGATAGGGGTAACTATATTTTCAAATTTGTCAATTGAACTATCGCGCGAATTACGAGTTTGAGAATTCTCAGGAATTATATGATGAGTCGTACAATTCTCATCACTTAACTTTTTGGGGTTTGCAATTCAACAAAAGATAATTTTGTCTAATCCACGTATAATAAAAGGGAAAAAGGTGTGTCATTTTAAATGACACACCTTATATCCTTTCACTCTCACAAAGAAGTGGGACTCACATTTTTAAAACTTTTTTCCCCCACTCTCTCTCTCCTATGATTTATCTCTTTATCTCACTTAAAATGACCCAACTTTGTGTCCTTTAAAATGATACACACTTTTTCCATAATAAAATGACTGAGACTCACTTCTTTACTTTCTCTCTCTTCTTCTTAATGGTACTAGCACCACCCATTTTTTGTATCATATAGCATGTATATTCCCCTAACTTTTTCATATAACATTTTGTTTAGGTTTAGGGAAAAACATTTATCTTTCTAAAGGATATAAGTTTATATCCTTTTGTTATCAAAAAAAAATAAAAAATAAATAAAGTTTATATCCTTTTAGATCCTAACCGTTGATTTCCGTCCATCAACAGTTATAATCTATTGGGCCAAAACTTAATGGGCCAAATTTATTATTAATTAATTAATAATTTTAATCTAATAAATTATAACCGTTGATAGACGGAAATCAACGGTTAGGATCTAAAAGGATATCAGTTTATATCCTTTAAAAGGATAGATGTTATTCTCGTAGGTTTAAGTATAAAAGAAGTGATTAATGTTTTTATGTTGTAGACAATAAATATATCTCCTAAATACATATAAAACAATGTGGGACCTATGTGGGTCAATGTGAGGAGAAGAGAGAAAATGAGAAAAAGAAAGGGTTCCACAAACTTTTATGTGAGTTATCTTCTATAAAATGAGAAACATTAAATCCATAATAAAAGAAATGATTTAATGTTTCTGTTATTGTAAGAGATTAACACATAAAAGTGTGTGGGAGTCCATGTGGGTCCAAGTGAACAGAAGAGAGAGAAAAAAAAATCTCATACATTTTTATATATGTGTAGGAGATAAATTTATCTCTTATAATATGATAATCAATAAACCTAAAAAGAAATATCTTAAATAATTTCCAAAATAATAATAATAATAACTCTAGTAACAAGTATATTAACAATCGCATGATTAACATAAATTGTTAAAGGAAAATACTACTCTCATTTTATATGAGGTAATTATCTCATGTTATTTCACTTAAAAAATCTTACCCACTCGTTTTTTTTTTCTTTTTTATGCTTTAATGGTGGGCACCACGTGACTTCTCTATGTAACATGAGAGTAGCATTCCCCATTGTTAAAACATATTCTTATTGGTACGAGGCATTTTTTCGGATTCCCGAGAAATTAAGAGTGGTAATTATATTTACTCACGTTTGGTACAAGTTTTTTAAAATTTTCTCGAGAATCCGATTTTCTCATGATTTTATTTTGTGTGTAAATTTGTTTGAAAATACCATCCAGGGGTGATATTTTAAGATTTCTATAGCAAAGGAAAATTTAATACAACTAAACATAGCATTAAGAAAATTAACTCAATATTTTCGGAAATATTTTAGTCTACCAAACACCTTCTTGACAACGTTCCCAGAAAACTCATATTCTCATCATATTCCTGGAAATCGTGATTTCCGTATAAAAAAAAAATTTCCTCTACCAAACACCCTTGCATCATTTCCTAAAATATGTTAGCATTTACTAATTTCAAAAGTTCAAGAGCTTGGTTAGAGAATCTAAAAAATTATGACAACTACTTACATTCATATACAAACGAAGGTACATACGAGTAATAGGACACAAGTCATTCAAGACACCATTTGAACGTTTGACTGCCAAAAGAAGGTGCATATCAATCTTAAATAACACATCTTCCTGGCACAAACAAAAATTCATTACCCTAAGCAACTTAAAATCCCACATAAGCAACATACTAACAATGGCTGAATGTGTGGCTCAAGTTTCTGGCCAGTAATTCTCAGTAGAGCTCGCCTTCTTTGTGAATATGAATAACACAGTCTGAAGTTGGATAGGAGACGCAGGTTAGCACAAAACCTTCCTTCAATTGATCTTCATCAAGGAATGAGCCATCAGATTGATTAACTGAACCAGAAACAATCTTCCCAGCACAGATAGAGCATGCTCCGGCTCGGCATGAATAAGGAAGTTCAACTCCAACATTCTCTGCTGAATCTAAGATGCAACTATCATCAGGTGCCTCAAACTCATGTTCTTGTCCTTCTGGACCAATCAACTTAACCTTGTAAGCATCAATTGCATTCACTCGAAATGAAGATGATGATTTCAAGCTAAAAGATCGGGAAACACTCTTCATAGACCCAAGAGAGGATGGGCACTTAACCATGGTAGCAATAGTGAATCGATTTTGGTTTGCAGTTTGAAACATGCAATGGGGTGAAACCTCCACATTTGACATGGCTGACATGATTACCCTGAAAATGAATTGCTATTACAACATTTCTTTTTAAGAACCAATACGGAATCTAGTACAAAGCAAAATAAGAGTTAAAATATATCATTTTTCAATGAACAAACGAGTGAACAGAAAAAAAAAAAAAAAAAAAACAACAACCTGAATTCAGATTAAGTACCATAAGGTTAACACCAGAAGGTAAATTAGAAGAAGAACAATACTTTACAGCAGCAGGTTGGCCAAAAAAGATTGAAGTTCACCCAGTGTATAATCTTTGTAATTGCTAATTAAATTTAAAAATATAAAATTCTAAGAGTGAACGTGCAATTAACAATCATTAATATCCACAAATCATATTCCCGTTAGGATCATCACGTTGATAAAAATCATGAAATATCAGAAGCTCTACTCTTCGTTCGAGGCTCCAAATTTATAATTAAAATGTTACGGTTTTGTTTTATTATTTTTTATTTTCTAAATTGTTGGTTTATTTTAAGTGGATGGATAGATTCTAAGTAAGTGCTAATAGTGGGTAGTTTGTTTTACTTCAAAATGTTTAGTTGTTATAGTGGGTAGTTATTATTTGTAAATTGTACCTTGTCTATTTAAACTCTCGTCGTATGAAATAAGAAATCATCATATGAATTAGTCAAGCTTCCTTAATAAAGCAATCATTCTATGTATATAATAGCTTGATATCAGAGCCAGGCATCAGTAGAAGATGCAATTAGTGCACTGTCCATTCAATTGAAGGAGATGTTCACCAAACTCTCCAATGCTCTAGTACCAACCACCAAACCACAACCTCACACGAGTCACATCCATTGTCATTATTCTTATTTCATTTCACATCCATTACAATGTTACGATCTAATTGTAAAGTATGAGATATGAGTATCACATTGGTTATATGAGTAACTAATATGAAGTTTATATGAACTTTAGACTCTCCTACTTCATGCGCTAGATTTTGGCGTGAGGCTCTCCCAAAATTCATATCCTAAAACCAAAAAACAAAGTAGCCTCGCTCCACCTTGACTAATGCCTATGTAAGTATTGATGAACCACATAAGCTTGGAGTTGAACAGAGTGAATATTATTATACACTTGTTATGCATAACACATAAGCTCTTCCATACACAATCAAAGGACGATCCTGAGACTCTAGCATAGCAATGCCACAACAAATAGAGATATAGTCAGCACTCAGCATAGAATACAATATTCTTCTTTGTGTGCATATCCTATTAACATGACAAATCGAAAATCCTAGCCAAGCAATCGTGCTAATAAAATGTAATTAAGAAAAATGAATGAATAAATAAACCAAAATTTAAAGGTAAACTTATCCTAATTTTACTGCATTTGCGACATATAGCTGTGTATTGTTACCCTAACCCAACCATTCCAAAAACATATAAAGGAAATGATAATAAAAAAAAGAAGCATAAGATGTGGGGGGAAAAAATATCACGGTTTCCATTAGCTTCGTTAATGTAATTTAGAGAGATTTAACAGGGCTTACCGTTACTGAGACAATAAAACCGTTGTTTTGTTTTGATACAGTGCTGAAATGGGAGCGAAGGATAACAAAATCACGAAAAAGGTAGAGAACCAAAAGAATGAAAGTGATAGGTTGTTATTAACCATTATCATTGTTGGCTTCTACCTTTCTATATCCTCCTCGCGAATCATTGAGGAGCACCTACTGACCTTTTTTTCTTCGAAAAATACTGCTAATCATTAATTATAAGGGAAAAAATTACAAGGGAACCTGAACCTCTCATATATACGGCATACACTCGTACGCAGAACAATCTTCGTGTGCTTTAAAATTCATTAATTTTTTATAAAAAAAAAAAAAAAAAAAAAGTGCGCACATGCACAAGATTAAAAATGTACACTTGACACAATTTGGCTAAATCAACGAGCTGTAATATTGCATTCAAAGTACACAAGGTTTCTACGCATAACCCATAATTAGAGCCTTAGATGGAGTTCCTTGCAATCTTGCCCTTAATTAAAAACGTATTATACTATTTTTCAAATAGTATTACACTAGTTTTAGAAATCAGTTCTAATTCTTACTATTTTTAAAAATTTGTTGAAATTTTAATTATTTAAACTCACTTAAACTTCATGTATATAAAAACCTAAATGACTCTTACTCGACAATTTTCCACCTGTGAACTGTCATTCAGCAGAGTAAGAAACATCAATAAAGTTCTAAACGAAATGCAGAGTACAAATTGACATGGAATAAGTATCTCCCCGTATAAGTATCAAGTCATAGAATAAATGCATCAAAGGAGCAGGTAACAACGAATTGTATGACACGAGAAGCTTAGAATTAGCTCCCATAGCATTATCCAACGTTGCTGAGCACTTAATTAAGTCAAGAACATGAAATACTAACAATAAAAAACTCATCCAACAAAACTGAAGAAAGCTCAAATCAACTGTCCAGCTATTAAAATAATCAAAATATATTAAGTGCAATGAGAAATTCAAAAAGCAGCCTCTTAAAAGACGCGGTACGATTTCCCCATGGTACTCTTCAGGTACAAGCATCTAACCTGAAATCAACAACAGATTACATAATTAGATATTGGCAGGATAAACCAAATAGAATATTGCAAGGACAAGAAAGAAACAAAAGAACAATAACACACGTAGCACAATTGAAGGATTAAGTCCCTAAAAATAGAGTAAAAAATTGCAAATCCGGTACTGTGACATTCAACAAAGATGCAAACTAAAACATATGCCAAAAAACCGATCTTCCTTGATTTGAGGTAAAATTTTGTACAGTGATTTAATAGCCATACTATGCTCATTGTAGAAAGCAGACTATTCTTATACTAGCTAATTTCTTAATTACAAGGATAAATATTCACACATGGCAAAGGGTAAACAGATCCAAGAACAAACAATTTTGAGAAAAGCACAACTAAAAAGGTAATGTAGCAATGATTTTACTCAACGAGAGTGGACTACTCACGTTCTGCCAATTCTTCTTTAACAAGGATACAAGGAAGTTAACACTCAGCTGCACATTTTGGAAGATTTGCTTTTCCTCCATACTAACATTGCCCACAGCTACTCCCATGCAGAGCACCTTCTTAAGCTGAAATTTGACCATGGCTTTAGTCTCATTAACCTTTGACTCGAGAGATTCTTGGTGAGTAACAAGTGTAGGGAACTTCCCTGCCATGTCATGCAAAATATCAGACTCCTAAAACTATAATTTTAATTTGAAAGAAACACAATATAACAATTCTTTCAATCAAACAAAGCAATTCGCTACATGAAAGGGAAGAGGGTGAAAGAAGCATGAACCAGATATATACGAAGTCATTTAAAAGATTTTCTGCAGTTAATACTTAAAAACAAAAATAAATAGCACAAAAGTGGCCAGATATTAATTAAAAGACTACGACGCCTAATGTAAAACAAACGAACAGAAGCAAATCACCAAGAACTTTCAAAATGCCCAGAAAGTTCTAAATCCTAAACCAAAAGAATAGAAGACATGCCTGCCTTGTTAATACTTAAAAACAAAAATAAATAGCACAAAAGTGGCCAGATATTAATAAAAAGACTACGACGCCTAATGTAAAACAAACGAACAGAAGCAAATCACCAAGAACTTTCAAAATGCCCAGAAAGTTCTAAATCCTAAACCAAAAGAATAGAAGACATGCCTGCCTTGTTGAGACCAGGACCCAGAAGGCGAGGAATCTGCTTAATGACTGCTTCAGAAGCTAAAAAGGCATGGTATTTCTTAGCTAGCTTTTTTACTAGCTTCTTATTTTTGTTGAGCTTTTTCAAAGCTTCAACATCCATGTAGTCCAATCCTATCTTTTCTGCCTGTAGATTAGAGTAATAGACATTAAAATAACAAACTTGGCAAACAATGGAATGAAAATTATTTAAGAAAAGTCCAACGCACTCAACATAAAAAACCATCACCTAACCTCTAGGAATGACATTACTCTTTGAATTGAAGTTACTAAATTACAGAAGCATTGAGTCATTTCAAGAAAAGAAATCAACAATAACATTCAGTAATTAAAAAAAAAAAACTCAAATAGCACACAACTAAAATGGAAGGAAACAAAAAGATAAGGTCCGTAGAACAATAGATCATGTTAAGGGTTGAAATAAGCATACAGCCAAGGTTTCATCTATTATAAAGTACTAAAAAAAGGAGAAAAATGAAGACCGGGTTTGAACCCTGGGGTACACTAGAGCACAAAATATTGCAAATAATTGAAGATCAAACAGAAAAGTTTAATGAATACTACAGATAGAGATAATAGGTACCTCTTCAACATGTTGGGCATCACCAAGCATGCAAATTTTCATCTTGGGGCGAGGGATGTGGGGCAACTTGACAGAGCCACTGAAACGCTTGTCCTTCTGTGGATCATAGTTTTTCAGCCCAATTTGGAGTTCAATGGTCTCAACAAATTTACGATTCTTCTCCTTGGAATCAGCCATGATTCCGGAGATAGCTTCTCTTAGAGCATCACTCTGAAGCTTACTGCAGAATCAACAGCCAAAACAGATCAGAAACACTTGGTTTCCAAGTTCACCATTTCACTGAATAATTTCCATTAACATAAGAAAAAAACTATACAAATTACACTTCAGTTATCAATGGCATACATAACAAAACGCATAAACAAGCTAATAAACGTTGAAACAGTAACAAGTAGAAGACGGGAGTAGAAGTACCTCATCTTTGAAACTAGGCCTTTTCAAATCAACGGTTAACCGGCTACAGATCTCAAACCTGTGAACAAAATTGAAGAGAAGAAGAAAGAAAAATTGGCATCAGCGTTGGTGAAGAAGAGAAAGTATGAAAATCCAATAACAAAATGTTCTGAGCAGAGTAAGTACCGCGAAACCCTAGCTAGGGTTTGATGCGGCCGGAGCAAGGACTATATAGCATGACGGATATTAGATGGGCCGGGCCTGGTTTTCAAAGAATTGAAACGGGCTTTGTAGCTTGGGCAGCGATTAGCCTCTCTTTTTTTTAATTTATTATTATTTTGAGTTTTGTTTAGGTCAAAATACTCGGGAGACTTGTAGTGTGGACTCATATAAACTTTTTTTTTGGACTCATATAATTTTTTAGTTTCCTGAATAGTTTGTCAATGCTAAATGGGCCGGAGTTGTTTAATGAGGTAGTTTTATATATAAGATGAAAATAAAATAAATACAAAATATAATAAAAAATTAATGACATGTGTGATTGTGTTATGCTTTTCCTTTTCTTCTTTTTCTTAGAATTGTTTTGTAAAATATTGGGTAAATTTCATAAAACCACCATGTAGTTAGGTTTCCTTTCAAAATACCACCTTATACTTACAACTTAAACAATTCAGCGCACTAAACTTTGACATTGAAATAATTAAACATATTTATCATTTTTAAGACGAAAATACCCATAGTCTCACCTCATCTGCCATGTCGTTAATTGCAAGTTTTTGAAATGCAATTTCTGAATAACTTCAAAGCACATAAATTCCAATACGATTAAAGAACAAAGCACTTGTGAAAGGAATGATTAAATCATCACAGGAAAAGATTTAAGTTAACAACAAATAAATAAATAAATAAAATAAAACAAAGAAACGAAAAATCAAAAATTACCAGGAGATGACGATGAAGGTTGAGAGTGAGGCGAAGAAGAAAAGTTGTAGGCCTCAGCCATTTGAATATATAGTCTGTTATTATTCAAGTCTATGATGGCACAGTGGTAAGGGGTGGTGGCTGGTGGTGACAAGACATGGCTGGCAACATATTGGTTTGTGGGGTGGTGGTGAAGACAAGGTTATTTTCATCTTAAGTTTACAAAATATGTTTAATTGCTATAAATTTATAGTTTAAGTGGGTTAATTGTTAGAATTGGAAGTGTAAGGTGGGTTTTTGAAAAAAACACTTAGTTAAAGGTGGTTTGATGTAATTTAGCCTAAAATATTTAATGAAATGAGTGTTATTTGTTTTTTTTCTTTCAAAAATTAAAAGTCAAAACAAAAATAGAAATAAGTAAAGGGAGGGGTTATATTTACAACCCAAATAGTTTATAAATTCTTACAATCATATCTTAACCGTTGATTTCTGTCAATCAACGGTTGTTATTTATTTGAATTAATAATTAATTAATAAATTTAATTTGCGAAAATCTTAACCGTTGATTGACGGAAATCAACGGTTAAGATATGGTTGTAAGAAATTGTAAATGAAAATAGATTGTAAATATAACTTTCCTCATAAGTAAAATATATTTTTTAAATTTGATTCTAAAAACTAAAAAACAGTTATAATTTCTAGAATTATTTTTACAAAACAAGCATTATCAAATAGATTTTTTTTCTAAAAATTAAAAAAATATTTTTAAAAACAAAATTTAAACTAGCCCTAGGTTTCTTAAATTTGATTTTATTTTTTAAATGAACGATTGATTTTAGAGGAAGGTTGTACTTACAATCTATTTTCGTTTACAACATTTTGCAACTATATCTTAACCGTTGATTTCTGCCAACCAACGATCATTATTTTTGCAAATCAAACTCATTAATTAATTATTAATTCGTAATAAATGATAATCGTTGATTTCTACTTATCAATAATAATTATTTTCGCAAATCAAACGGTTGTTTGATATTGACGCAGTATTCCACTATTCCTACATGGTTTAAAACTTTTTATAATAAACTTTAGAACACTAGATTGAAACTATTTTAAACTTTCATTAAGATTAATTAGAACATGAGGGTTAAAAACTCAGCATATATGCGATATTATGATGTACATACAATTCGTTTGAATAACAATAAGAAGTTGTACCCAAAAATAAATAAAATAAGAAGCATTTTGTACTCAAGTCTTAACTAACTCATATTACAAATATAATTAGCATGCATGCTTATAAATTGTTTTATTGACCAGACCAAGAAAGGAGATCAGAACAAGGCAAGGTAAGTTCTAAGGATCAAGGTAAGTTCGATGGAACCATGGCGCTTGACGTTCTTGAACCAAACAGTAAAAAAAAGTTAAGCTTGTTGGTTGAAAGAAAGAGCAATTGATCATGTAGTAATAACAAATAATAACACACTGTTCCTACTTCCTACAATCCTCCACTTATGGTAAATCAAATTTTGCTAAATCAAATGTTAAGCTTCTCAGTTCCAACTGAATCTATTCAAGTCCAGTTGTTTACAACTTGTTGCAGCTTCATTATCTCCATGGGTGTTTAAGTCCAATCTTGATGCTGCAAAGTAAGGAGGCAACCTATAATCTTTTTCATCCACTGGTTTCATTGTGTTTCTATCAAGATACATGTTGCTGTCATTTTCTGTTTCTCTTTCAAGTCCAATATGGTCATAGATAAGTTGCTGGGACTGTTTTCTACAGCATAGCTTCTTCTTTCTTCATTCTTGCCTAATGGGGTAAGAAAGGTGTTCTTTTTCACTTCATCACACCATTTGAGTTCAAAGTTCTGAGGGTTGGGAGCTTCTATAGTTGCTTCTTTTCGTTCCATGAATGCATTTCCATTGAAGTGTCTTAAGCCCATATTTTGAATCCCTTGTTCCTTTTGTGATCTGTCACATGATGTGAGGCAACTGTCCACTGAGCAGTCATTTGGCTGGTTTGTTTGTGTTTGCTGAAGACAAAATCCTTGTAATTCCTTCAGTTCTGAAAATGCTGAATTCAGGCACTGAGAGGATACTTTGGACACAAGTTTTGAGAGTTGAACTTTAGCAGCTTCTAGTCCTACCATTCCCAAATTTTGTCTTCCAAGGGTCTCTTGAGCTTTCTCCAACACAGACTGCAGGTATTTTCCTTGAGCCTCTATCAGAAGCTGCAAGTGTCTCTGTACCTGGAAGTGTTCACAATGATTTTGTTAGAATTTAAGAAAGAAACTTGGAGTCAAAAAGCCAAAAGCTGCATGCATAGCAAGTTGCTAAGACTCACCTCAAGTTGTTCATTGAGCCTTCTTTGCACCTCAATCTGCATTTGCAGTGCCTCACTTATATGTAAATCTCTGGGACAAAGGAATTGAATGTTAGTATTAAATCTTTAAGCGATAGAAAGTTCATATCAAATAAGATTACATGAAGCATGTTAAAAAAGTTCTCTTTTTTTTTCTTACTTGCTAGCCTGCGGTCCAAGGCTTAATTTGTTCATGTGAGTTCCATTGGTTTCGAAAAATCTCTCTCCAGATGCTGCACCTGAATTTGTTGCTGGTAAGATAAGTTTGTTCTTCAAAAACAGCTTACTGGTACATAAGTAGATAGGAAGAAATGAAAAAGATTGTTCTCTTACTGATTTTGTGTGTCATGTTGTTGCTTTGTGCATGCAGATTCTTGCTCAATCTGTATTTCTGGTGACGAAAAGAGAAGGATCAGTAATTGCACCATACAAGTTAAGGTGCAAAAATGATAGGCATAAAATGAATGGAATCTTATAATTAAAGGGTTGTAATACAGATCAGTAATGATTTTACCTGAAGATGGCTCTTTAGATGATATAAGGTAAGCCCTGGAATCCTCATGAGTTTCATTACCGTTTTTGGAGTTGCCTCTGCAATAAAAACATTGTACTTTGCATTAGTGAATTCAAATTCTATGTTCCTCAAGATATTGTGATGATCCACAAGCGGATGTGTATACTCACTGTCAGCTCCACCTAGCTGATTGACCACTTCTATAAACCTGGAATGAAGATCTGTTGTCCATTTTAATCTAGGCTTTGCATCAGTTGAAAGCACAAGTCCAGAATCACCAGACCCATTTTCTGTTTGAAGGAACATATGCTTCTCAGAGGGGATTGGAATTCTAGAAGAAGAATGAATGTTTTTTCCTTAATGATGGTACATCCCACCTACAATAGCCACGTATAAACAAACACCTTAACATATAAAAACTAACAACTTATTCCCCAATGCTAAAGACTAGTTGTGTATTTACCTGATGAAAGGTGAAACTAGATAATGCTTTATTTTCAAGTATTACTACAGGCCCTGATGCTAACAAATAAGAGAACTTCTGAATACTTGTTACGCTTGTCTTGTTTCTCCTCTACACACTTCACTTTAGCGGAAAGCAAGCTGAAGTTGGTATTTATATCTGAGAACTGGAGGGGAGCTTGTAATCCAATGGAATCATTGATAAAACCAATAGAAAACCAACTTAATCCTTGTGTGCGGTGACATGAAGAATAGATATTATTCCTTCCTACATTTGTTCACTTGTGGGCCCAGTTTTCTACTTCCTCTTTCCAATTTCCAGAATTGATCCTTTAAATTTGAACCCAATATGCATTCTTATTTGTTTGCCAGGTAAAAGTGAGAATCATATTCCCAAATTTGAAAGAGTATATTTTTTCTGACTTGTTTATGGGGAATCTGATATCCCTCTTGTCTTGGAATAGCCAAAGCTCATCCTTTATCTTTGTTCTAGAGGAAGATTCTCATAAATTAAGTCTAAATCTTTTTCTTCTACACCTTGATCTTGGTGTCATTTTACAAGTCCTTAATGTACATAGTTCTTTAGCAGCATGATAAAATGGGTTTTGGCTGAATGATATCTATGGTAAAGTTTGCAGACAAAGACATGAAGGAACGTCTTAATTGTTTGTATATAGAGGACTTAGAAGAAGGATTCCATTGACTAGAGCACCATGACATGCAATAGAAGGTTTAAAAAAAAAATTATGGGAAGATGTTTCCCATGGGACTGTTTGGAGGTAAGGAATAGAATAAGAATACATTCTGATTTGTCTCCTTCATTAAGTTTGGCACTTATTCAGCCCACAACTTTTAAAATAGAAGGAAGGTGGACTCTTTAACTTTTCATTCTTTCTTTGACACTTAAACGCAGGCCACATCCTCTGGAATCATAAGGAGGAAGGACCTAATAAAAAGGGAAAGCCAGAGTTGTACTTGCTTTTATACTTGCATTCCGTTAAATACAGTACTACAGCATAGGACCACTTCCCTTACCCTTGACTTGTACCATGGTTAATGTATTGGATTCTTGTGTATGAATTATTAAATTGTCATTTCTTATGTAACCAGCCTTTTAATTTTTTGTACACTTGTTCTTATCCATGGAGAACTTTCACTAAATGGCATATACCATGCTAAACCACTGTGAAAGCAATTAAGAAATGTATTAAAATCTGATTCAGTTTTAATTAAAGCCATTCTTCCACAGGTAATGCATGTGTCAACTGCATGCAAATCTGCATTATTCAATTGGAGAGATGTTAAGTTAATACATTGTACTGTTATAGTAAGTGGTGTAGTACAGGATGATTAAAATTCTACGAATGACATTTAAATGATTAACAGCTAATGCAGAATAAATTAGAGTATATGTAACTCATAAACATCAACTTGCCATTAGACATAGATAAAAGTAGAAAGCTATTTACAAACCGCATATGATGTGTTGATATCCATTCATGGTGCTAAAGAGATCAGTAACATAAACATTTTATAGACAACTTGTTAACTGTCAAAATACTAGAGGTATTCATTATAATCCTTGTGTCAACTACACAAAGGAGATTTCATTTATATATTAAACCAAATAAGAAATATAAAGACATATACACAATGTGGGACTTCTATGATACTATTTACAACAACACTCCCCCTCAAGCTGGAGCATATAGATCGTATGCACCAAGCTTGTTACATATCTGATCTATCCTAGGTCCTCTCAAAGACTTAGTGAATACATAAGCTAATTGATCATTTGAGTTGACAAAACGAGTGACTATATCTCCTGAGAGAACCTTTTCTCTAAGGAAATCCCAATCTATCTCAATGTGCTTAGTCCTTTCATGAAACACTGGATTTGAAGCAATATGCAAAGCAGCTTGATTATCACAAATGAGAGATGTTGGGCCAGTGTCTCCAAACTTGAGTTCCTCCAGTAGTTGTTTTAACCAGATGAGTTCATAGGTAGCTGTGGCCATGGAGCGATATTCTGCTTCAGCACTTGATCTAGCAACTAAACTTTGTTTCTTACTTCTCCAGGAAATCAAGTTATCTCCAACGAATACACAATACCAGAGGTGGATTTTCTATCAATGGGAGAACCTGCCCAATCAGCATCTCAGTATCCCACAACTCTGGTATGACCTTTGTTTTCATAGAGAAGACCTTTGCCAGGAGCAGTCTTGATGTACTTGAGGATACGTATTACTACATTCCAGTGATCTTCACAAGGAGAATTCAAGAACTGACTTACTACACTGACTGCAAAGGAAATGTCTGGTCGAGTAACTGTGAGATAGTTCAGTTTCCCAACCAATCTTCTATACCTTTATGGATCTGAAAATAGCTCCCCCTGATTTGGCAAAAGCTTGACATTTGGATCCATAGGAGTATCAACGGGCTTAGCATTCAACAGAGTTGTCTCCTCAAGAATATCCATAGCATATTTTCTCTGTGACAATACAATGCCATCTTTGGATTGGACCATTTCTATCCCTAAGAAATATCGGAGTCTTCCAAGGTCCTTTGTTTGAAAATGATGGCAGAGATGTTGTTTTATCTGGGTTATACCATGATTATCATTACCTGTAATGACAATATCATCAACATATACCACCAAATAAATAGAACCTGAATCAGAGTGTCTATAAAAGACTGAGTGATCAGCTTCACTCCGAGTCATGCCAAACTGCTGTACAACAGTGCTAAACCTTCCAAACCAAGCCCGGGGAGACTGCTTGAGACCAAACAAGGATTTACGGAGACGAAAAACTAGGTTAGACTCCCCCTGAGCAACAAGCCCAGGAGGTTTCTCCGTATAAACCTCTTCCCGCAGATCACCATGGAGGAAAGCATTCTTTATGTCCAGCTGATACATAGGCCAGTGACGAATGACTGCCATAGTAATAAAGAGGCGAACAGAATTCATTTTCGCCACGGGAGAAAACGTGTCTCCATAGTCGAGACCAAATACCTGAGTGTAACCTTTAGCCACCAATCAGACATGGAGACGGTTCACCTGACCATCAAGACCAACTTTGACCGAGGGGGGGAACAGGGGCAGGGACATCTAAAGAAGAAGGTGGTGAAGAGATATATTGAACTGAAACAGGGGGTAAAGGTAGCTGAGTAGCAACAGAGTCACTGGAAAGGAGGAGGAGTCAAAGAATGGGATAAACTCAAAGAAAGTAACATCCGCCGAGTCAAAGTAACGACGAAGACTGGGGGAGTGACAACGATAACCCTTTTGTGAGCGAGGGTAACCCAGGAAAATACATTTATGTGACTTAGCAGATAACTTGTCAAGACCAGGACTGAGATTATGGGCAAAACAAGTAGAACCAAAGACGTGAGGAGTGAGTGGGTACAAAGGTTGATGGGGAAACAACACAGAATGTGGTACCTAGTTATTAAGTACGGAGGAAGGCATGCGATTAATGAGATAACAAGCTGTGAGGGCAGCATCGCCCCAATACTGGAAGGGGATATGACCATGCAACAAAAGTGTCTGAGTAGTTTCAATGAGGTGACGGTTCTTGCGTTCAGCAACCCCATTTTGTTGAGGGGTGTGTGAACATGATGTCTGGTGAAGGATGCCGTGAGATGCAAAGAAGGTTTGAAGTTGATGAGACAAATATTCACGAGCATTATCACTTCGAAAAATGCAAATCGAAACACCAAATTAAGTAAGGATTTCATTAAAGAACTTGTTAAAGATGGAAAACAATTCAGACCGATTTTTCATTAAAAATAACCAAGTACATCGAGAATAATCATCAATAAAAGTTACAAAATATATGTACCCCATAGTGAAAACGGTACGACTAGGACCCCAAATATCTGAATGAACTAAAGCAAAAGGAGACGAAGACCGACGACTGACACAATCGGGAAACAAACTACGAGTGTGCTTCCCTAACTAACATGACTTACAAGACAAACTAGATAAATTTGAGAAACTTAAGACCATCTTCTGGAGCTTAGCAAGACTCATATGACCCAACTGAGCGTGGATAGTAAGCGGAGAATCCACAACAGAGCACACTGGGACAAAAGTTGAAAGCTGATAAAAGTCGTTGGACTCAGATCCGACGCCAAGTGTCCTCTTCGAGCTCCGATCCTGCAAAATGACAGACTCTTTAGTGAAGGAAATAATACAGTCAAGGGATTGAGTCACGCGACTAATGGAAATAAGGTTGAAAGGAGAATTAGGAACATAAAGCACATTATTAATGAGGATAGAAGGAAAAAGGAGAACAGTGTCAATCCCTTGGGACTGAACTTGTGACCCATTAGCCATAGTGATATTGGGTAGGGGACCAGACATATAGAGAGAGGTGAATAAAGACTTATTACCAGAAATATGGACAAATGCACCAGAATCGAGAATCCATGGACCAAGAGAGGGCAAGTGAGAAAAACCAGCAAAGGAATTACCAGTGTGTGCACCAGAGGCAGTGGTACCAACATGACATTTCTCTTCATACCAGTGCAAGAAGTCAGTTAGAATAGACGGAGGTGGTTGTGGTCCAGCAATCAAAGCAGAGTCCGAGGCAGGAGCAACACTCTGAGTAAAATTATCGGAGCGAGGAGGACGACCGTGAAGATCCCAACAACGATCAATAGTATGGCCCGACTTGTTGCAATGAGTGCAGAGAAAGCGTTCCTTAGAGGGTTTTCGTCCAGGTGCATAACCCTTGGAAACAAGTGCAGAAGGATCAATTGAAGAGGGAGCAGATACTGCAGGCTCCATAGCAGACTTAGGTGGAATTCGAAGCAACGTAGACCAAACAGAGTCCAGGGATGGAACAGTAGTAGAGCCTAAGATCTGATCCTGGTTGACAGAGTACT